GCATCACTGCTGCAGGCAGTTGTGGGACATGGTCTGCCCCTTTGTAACCTTTCTAGAAATGGCATTTCTTCCTCTTGCCTTTTATCTCAGCCATCCTGTGCACAGGAACAGAATTAGCCGATCGGTGTCATCTGCCAAAACTCGTATTTTCTCTTGGGAGCGATATTGAACATTCAGTCACCTTCAGGCACAACATTGGTTCACTCTTACTTCAAGGTGATGTCCAGCCTTGCACACAGGTCTCCTTCCACACACTTCCACAAATGAAGGAGAGGCTATTGAGTCAATGTATCCTAGAAAAATCTGTTCAAGTTCATACGTGGGTCTTGGAAGATCATCATGCACCAAAAACACCAAGATTTTTTCTTTTTTGGTGTCTAATTGGTGACATGGAGCCCAAAAGGGCCAGAAATAGAGGATAGTAAAATTGCTTTGAGAATACATATTTAAATTTTATTTTTTATTTGAAAAATCACAATCAGATTAATGGTAGTGTATTTATCTGACTATAAATGCAGATTCATATTAGTCAATCTCTCTGTTTACCTACTTGATAGCAGAAAATTTTTAAAAAATTGACTCTGTGTGTTTCCTCCAAATCCAAAGGTGCTATAACCGTAAACTACTGTGTTTTGCATGTTATTTAAAACAAGAAGAGAGTATCCAGTGCACCAACATTTTATCCTATTCTCTGTTAGCAATCATAAAAGCATATCAAATCTAAATTTTAAGTGCTCCTAGAATATCTCCACATCTACTAGAAACTTCTCAAGCCACAACCTCTCTCCCAAAGAAGGGGCACAGCTATTCAAGTATGGAGCCTGAACTTTTACAAGGCTAGTCACAACTCAAAGAAATCCCAACTGCAGCAAGTATCACAGGCAGTTAAAGAATAATACTTCCTTTGGGACAATTAGCGACAGCCTGGATTTGAGAGAATTCTTTTCCTAAAATCAGGTGTGTTCAGATGCCTTTCACCCTCAGAGACAGAGTCCTTTGGAAACAAAAGTATTACAGCTCACTAAGTCAAGAGAAATTCATTCCAGTTTTAGGAATTCAGTTTCGCTTGGGTAAGCTTCCAAGATCTGAAAGTAAGCTCCATCAGGAGGCTTAGTATTCATAAATCTTTCCTTTAGATTGGAGAGCTCCCAGCAGCTACACTCCTTCCAGTATTATTCTACTTTTGTGTGTCAATAAAGAAATTTAACTCTTGGAGTCTCTCTGAACGACCAGTATCAAGATATGAATCAAAATATCCAGCAATGTTATTGCCACGAAAAATATTTTGGCAAAATTAGAAATTCATGGTGAATAATCTAGATTCAGATTGTTGTATCTGTATTTATAAACATGTTTGAATTTAATTAAGCCATCTAAACCAGATAAAGAGATTAGCGACTGGAGCTATTAACTATTTCTTCACCCAAGTAGAACGTGTTATCAAGAAATAAATTAAATTTTGGCCTAACTGATCAAATAATGAAGGCACTTTGTTTGCATAAGAATACATATCTTTAAACCACCCAGATCCTGATAAGTTAATTTTTAATTTAAAAAGTTATAATCCTATTAATTCTGAAAAACTCATCTTCCTGCCACAAATGATACCACAAAATCTAGAGACAGAAAGAACATCTGGTTTGCTGGGATGTGTGTACAGAGGTTGACATCTTAAAAGAATAAAAAGGATTTCAGAGAAATTCTTGATAGAGTGTATATATATCATATGTCACATCAACAAATATCATAATGATGACAACAATAGCAACACAATAAATCTTGGAATTACAAGAAAACAGATTCCTGGCCAATGGCACTCTCAAGATAATACTTAATGTAACAAAATTGCAAGAAAGCCCAAGAATTTAAATACCTTCCTTCTGAAGTTTTAATATGCCTGACTTGTGATTTTTTTGTGGTCCAAATAATACTGAGGCACACATAGTTCACTCCCAGTCTTTATTGTCTATTGTTAAATGGAAGCCTCAACTTAATTTGTAATATTAAGGATAAAAACATTCTGACTTGCGTGGACAGCTAATGGAGTTTTGGAATGTTCATTTTATGATTAAATGACTACTATCCAAGTCTCATAACATTTTGATGTTTTATATTTTATATTTCTATTCTCATGGGTCCTCGTTTCTTCCATACAGGTAGACAACTGCATTTGATATTAACAGGGAATATTCATTAACATAATAGATCTTCCCAAGTATCTGTGCTGATAGAGTAAAATAATTTAGATTTCAATGGAATGGAATGTTAGGTTAAAACAGAAATTCCAAGATAATCTTCTCATATCAGGAATTTAAGAATAAAAGATCAAGTAATTTAGATGATTTATGAAAATCCTTTTAGACTACTCTTAGAAATTTTTACCCTAATTTTTCTTAGGCTGCTCTGACTTTCATCTCTGCTCATTTTTAGAGACAAAAGCACAAATTCAATATTGTAATACAGTATCATGTACAAATATCATATACACGTAGTTTTACCTGAAATTAAAGCATAGCATGTTAATAATAATTTAGATTTATACAGTGCCATTATTCTATAGCTATCAAATAATCTCTAACTCTCTTTTCTTCTCAGAACTGAATATCTTCTAATATCTAGAATTATATAATAAAAACCCTTATTCATAGCTTCTTGAATTTTTCCATTCAATTAATTTTTATACCTTCATAAAAGACTCACTCAGTTTCCACTGGTGTGGGCCAGTTTTCGGCTAAAAGAAATTTCATGTTTTTGAATGGCAGACAGTAGCATCACCTGAAATACTGATAATTCTGTTTGATGCAAATCACCGAGCATGTAGGCAATGCTTTGAAGGACTAATAGGGTGCCAGGGTAAAGCAAAGGAGCAGAGACATCTTGGAACCTAATCCTGGTGTGGCCACCACTCTGCCTTTGGGCTTTCTTCTCCTCAGACTTGACATGGGGTTTGCACTAGTTCTCAAAGTATGGACCAAGTACCCCAGGGGGTGTCTACCTCTTTTGAGGGGGCCAAAAGATCAAAATCACTTTTGATCTTATAAAAGATAGTATAAAAGTATAGTTTGATCTTAAGAAATATTATTTGCTTTTTTAGTCTTGTTCTCTCACTCTTGAGCAGTGGAATTTTCCATAGGCTACACATCATGTGATATAACAGATTGAATGCAGAAGCAGATGTGAAAATCCAGTTGTCCTCTGTTTAGCCAGACATTAAAGAGATTTGCAAAAATATAAAATTGCCACTGTTTTCACTAATTATTTTTTCTGTTTGGAAAATATAATTACTTTTCATGGAAAAAAAGTTACTTTTGTTAACAGATAGTAAGTTTATTACTTTATTTTTAATGAATTAATAAGTGAACCTTTTGAAAAAACCTTTCCACTGTAATTTTTAATATGGAACATAACCAACACGAATTAAAGTTCTTTAGGGTCTTCAAGAATTTTGTCAAATGGAATGAAGTTCTGAGAATCAGAAGTTTGAGAACTACTACAGTAGAGGTCTCTGAGAAGTCTTTTGATTGAAAAACTCTGATTCTAAGGTTGTGAAGTTCGATGGAAATGAACTTGAGTGAATAGATGACTATGAACGTAAGAACCAGGGAAATCAGTGGAGGCCCACAGCGCCCTACATTCAGGACACCACCTTGTGACGGTCAGTCCTTCCCCCTTTCAGCAGCTATAATTTTGCTCCTCCTTTTAAGCCCATCATTTGCTCCCTCCTCTGCTCTCTGACTTGCCAATACCCCAAACACCCATCCTAACTCACACACAGGAGACAGGAAATGCCCTGGGCAACACAGGAAGCACCATCATGTTCATGAAAAACCTTGTTTCCATCTTCCCCCAGACTCCCAGTTCTGATTAGGACACTGTGAGGGATTCACCTCTCTATTTATTGATATGATGGCTCCTTGACCCCAGGGGTCACCACACCAACCCTGACCAATGGGATAGACCCAAATGGGTGAGAGTGTCAACAATCTGCAGAAAGCGCAACATAGGGGAACATTCTTGAATCTGAGTTTGCTCAAGCCCCAGCTCAGATTCACCACAGAGGTTCCAAAGGGGTTGTCAGGCCCCACAGAGTTTTTACATGTGGTATTCACGAAGGCATTATCCCCAATTTGATTAATGGACACCAGCATAAATTTCACTCTAGTGTAAGCAAGGGTAGTTTCCCACAAATGGAAAATTCATTTTGAGTGAATAAAAGGGAAAATACCCAGAATCTAACCTGACCAGAAGCAAACTTAACCCTCAGTGCATCCCACGGCAGGTTTTCCTTTATTATGCTTTGTCCTTCATTACAGCTTTTAAAGTTGGGATCTGGGGTTCAAGCCAGTTCTATTTCTTTCAGGATCCATGTTCTTCTCGTTCCTGACCACACCCCAGCCCCAACACCAATCCTCAGTTCTCTGATCCATAAAAATGTAATGATCATTCCTGCAATTTAAGGTCGTGGTTGAAACAAGAGAGCCAGGATGCAATATTCCTGCCACTGCTATCATTTTTATTTGCTGGAGAAACTCTGCAGTGACTCTCACTGACTCAGCACCTTCCCTAGGACCAGCCCTGTGTGCTGTGCGCTCCAGAGAACTGAAGCAAGTTTTAAAACATACTTTCAAGAGTTGAGCACTTCACAGCTTTCAAAGCACTTATCTCATTTGATCTCATTTTATCCTCACAACAACTTGGATGATTCTCACCAACCCTAATGAAGAAAGCAGAGAACTATATTTGCATTGTAATTATCCTCTTGCCCAAAATGGAAGTCCTCCTTTGGGAGGGAAACTGTTCTTACCACTGTATTTAGCTAGCTCAGTTTTCTTTGTAAAACCAGACCTCAGTGCTTGCTGTGAATCGTTAAAATCCACTGTACATGGAACACAGACAGATACAGAAAGCTGACTGGGAGGGAAGGCATGATCTACACCTGCTCTGTGCCCAGGGCTGCAGATGGGAAGAGAGGAAAGAGTTGGACTAATGTGTTCTCTTACCATTTTCTCCAGATGTCTTGTCTTTTCCGTTGGTTGCCCCAGCACCTTGTCGCTAGACGCATTAAAAAGAAAGAAAGAAAGAAATTGTTATCAGATATATTCGATATTATGTTTATCTCTCTTATTGTTGCAAATATTTCTGCATTATATTAAATTCTGTTACTTGAGCTCTGATGGATCCTGGGACCAGGAAATTCTCATGAGCACAGTACTCACAAGACCAGCATGTTAGCACAGTGTTCATGAGAACAGGAAAGAATCAGCCAAAAAAAGATCTACTGAACTTGCAGAGACCAATGCCCTCATCTCTATCTACTGTTCTATGAGCATGGTTCATCCCTAACAAAGAAAACAAGGAAGGAGATTGCTGTAGATTGTGCATAATGTCACCAAAAACATGAGAGCAACATCCAAGGGTTTGAGTTCATTACAAAAAGAACAGAATTGCAACCTATGTTAATAATGGTCACCACACTGCCATATTTTCATCCCAATCACTATGTCCAGTGTCTTTAAAAAAAAAAAAATACACGTTCATCAACTAAAAAACTCTTGTTAAGAGCAGTTTCTCCTATTTATAATCTCTTGTCATTGTTTATGCCTAGTCTGTGCATTTTCATTTCACCAAGTTGACTAAAAGTATGAAGAATTGTATGGTTAGACTTGACTCTTTGGGCAAGATGCTCTGGGAGTGTGGCCTTTGAAGCTGTGTGAAATGCATTACGCCTGAAAACATAAAGCATGTTTTCTCAAAGCTTAACATGAAGTTCGAAACTATTCTAGTCCATGGAAAAAGAAGTATTTTATCAATCCAATTTTTTGGTCATTATGAGAAAATATGCTTCAATTGTAGAAGGATTGAAATGATTATAAAGTGAAGAAAATGAGGCAAGGAGAAAGCAAGATTTGTCCAAGACCATGTAGCTAATGAGTGGCAGAGTCAAGAGTAGAGCCTGAATTTCCCCGCCCTCAAGTGTTGCTATCATGACTTAACTATTTGAATGGAACTCTAGAAAGAGAAGCAGATCTCCAAACAAGGAAAAAAAAAATCACTATATGTGACCCCACTAAGGGATTAGGAGACCATCAAAACTTATAGCTGGGTCTGGAAATTCAACCTAAACACATTATTATAAGCTGGGCACAATAGCTCACATCTGTAACCCTAACACTTTGGGAGGCTGAGATGGGAGGATCACCTGAGCCCAGGAGTTGGCAACACAGCAAGACCTTGTCTCTGCAATATATATATATTAAATAATTTGCATATATATAAATTAAAAATCAGTTGGGCATGGTGACATTGCCTGTAATCCCAGCTATTTGGGAGACTGAAGCAGGAGGATCTCTTGAGCTCAGGAATTCAAGGCTGCAGTGAGCTATGATCATGCCACTCTACTCCAACCTGGGCAACAGAGTGAGACCTTGTGTCTAACAAAAAATTCAAAGAAACCCAATATTCTAAAAATAATAATTAATTCCCTGTAGTGTTCAATGTTGTTTCAAGAAATTCCCAGATTGTGAATCATCAATCTTGCTTTTAGGTTCTGATGTGTGTAAATAAGTAGAGTAAATGATAAAGACTTATGCCAACAAAGTGAACCAATCCTGTGTATGCTTATTCCCTTGTTCAGGTGATAACCCAAGAGAGAAACAAAGTAAAGCCACCTGTTTATCATCAGTATCCCTTACCCTCTATCCTAGTCAATGTGAAATTATTTAAACCAGATAACTTTTTTTTGATTTGAGGTCTCACTCTGTCACCTAGGCTGGAGTGCAGTGGCACAATCACAGTTCACTGCAGCCTCGAACTCCTGACGATACTTTCACCTCAGCCTCTTGAGTAGCTGGGACTACAGGCACACACCACCATGCCTGGCTAATTATTATTATTGTTGTTGTTGTTGTTGTTGTTGTTACATTTTGTAGAGACAAGGTCTTGCTATGTTGCCTAGGCTATTTTCAAACTCCTGGCCTCAGGAGATCTTCCCACCTCAGCTTCCAAAAGTTCTGGGATTATAGGCTTGAGCCACTGTGCCTGGCCCATATTTCTTAAATATAGTAAATTTGCAAGTAAGAATGCTTCTTTCATCTTGCCTTATCCTGATGCCTTCTTTTTTTATACACAAGGTTGATTTTGCTACACTATCTGACTACGACTGAACTGGACAGAGTACCCCAAGAGCCATCCCGGGTGACTGAACTCTCCCAGCACTTAAATCCTGTGTCTTTCCCTGCATAATTCATAGACAGTTCAGAAAAAAAGAAAATTCCATGAAATAAAAGAACAGTTTTTTAGAGTAAAATGAAGTCAAATTAAATGGATTATAAGTGCAAAATAAATGCATGCTCAACCCCACTGTATTTAAATGCGTTAATCATGGATACCTTTCAAATGCCATGAATACCTAGTTTCATAAAAGATCACTTTTTAGAAACCAGAGGAAAACCAAAATGAAAGGAGTCATCTTTTTTTCAAGATTTTTGAGACAGGGTTTTAGTGTCAGGTCTTATTTAATGGAAGTGCAATAAAGCTGATTGATGTCATAGAAGATGGTGTCTCAGAGCAGAAAATGATCCTGACAAAAAAAGAACTAGTCATCGGAAGCATCTCATTTCAAAATTCTTTTGGCACTTTCAAGAGAAGTTTGAGAGTAGAGGGGGAGTTCTCCAAGAGCTTCCCTATTCCTGGGGTCTGGCTCTCACACATAAATGTGTCACCACTGCACCCATGCCAGATGGCCGTAGTTTTACTGAACTGAAGGTGGACAGAGTCTATGCCAGGCTGAGTGTCAGGTGATCACGGTCCACAGTTCCAAGGCCAGGACCCCAAGAATTCTCAAGCATGACTGACTCACTGAGTTCTGACAGCCTCCCTAGATACCCTCATTGGCCCCACTTTACCAATTGTACCCTAAGGCAGAGAAAGGAACTTGCTCAAGCGCATACAGCTGGGAAGAGGCAGAGCCAGAATTCGAATCCCAGAAGCTGGCTCTGGGGGTCTCTCTTAACCACCGTGCCTGAGAATCTCTCAGTATCCTGTGCTGCGACCTTCCTGAGGACCTCTATCAGCAGGTGGGGAGTAATGAGGCAGGGAGATTCAGGTCTGAAAGTTAATGTGACTTCATTTGCACCACAGGCTAAGAGTTCTTAGAACATTTGGCTTACAGGAAGAAACAGTCAAACCAACAGCTGAGGGTTCAGTGGTAGAAATGCTATAAGATCTTTTTTTATTTAATGCTTAAATTACACAAGTACCCAGAACTAAGCTGTGCAAAAATAAATAAAGGGATGGATGGATGGATGGATGGACGGACGAATGAACGGATGGGCAGACAGACGGATGGAGGTAAGCTGTTCTCTAAAAGACCATTAGGAAAAAGACTCTTTTTCTTGAAGTGTTAGGAGTTAGCCTCCTGGGGAAGAGGCTGTCTTTTCTCTCCTTCCTACTCTCACCCCCAAGTGAGTAAAGGACCCAACTTCCTCCCTTTGCCCTAAATCAGCTGAAACCACAAGTTCATCATCCTGAGAACCTATACTGCCTACTGAACAAAAGTAGACACAGCTCAAAAGTATCTTCTATTGTAATTGAACTAATAAATAAAGCCAAGTGTCCAAGGAAAACGGCACAATACATTGACTTCCGAGTAAACTCTGATATGAGATTCTGGAATTCTGAGTTCTTTCCTAGGAACTTCAGAAAATGGTTCAATGCTATGAATACTACCACTGTGTTATTCAGTTTAATTCAGTGTAGGTATCCATATAACTTAATATACGAAGGCATGCATAAGTTCTCATGCAGGATAAGTTCTCTGACCAAATATACACAGCCACAATTACTAGGTTAATACAGATGTGAATAATATGTTGTCAGAATTATCTAGAAAACTAAGCACCAGAGCATATGAAAGCTTCATTAATGTGGTATTCAATATCTTTTAGTCAGTAGATATCAGCTTTGATGTTTTCCAACAGACCTAAAGAATGAGTTAATTGTCATGATCACTAAGAACAAAAGGAAGTTGATCCATATGAGATTTTATTTATCTTTTCTTTCAGGGGTGGGGTGGGTAGTAAAGGGGGAAAACTCAGCATCAGTTTCAACCACAGCTAAACCAGAGCCATTCCATCGCCTAATTCCATTCTCAGGAGAATTCTGTCACGAGTCTTACAGTCTGCATCATAATACTCAACTTAGATATTCTCATTCAGGTGCTCTCCTCATCATCTCCAGCTGCATCCCCAGCCTAACCAACTTCCCTTTCATGAAATGCTCTTGTTTGGGACCCTCTGCAGCACCTCACTCCCCTACAGACACAGCATCTTCTTCCAGGCCCACCGAGATGTCTAGACTGAAGGACAGACCCTTCCTTCTCCAGCTGTCTGAAATCACCGTGCCTCGTGCTCAAGCCATCTCTGTGTCTGTCCTCCTTGGGGACAGTGATCCTCCCTCTTCAAACATGTTAAAGTAATGTCCTTTTGTTATCCCCAGAGACCTCTTCAAGAGACAGGTGGCCCACTGGTATTCCACTCGGATTTATCTTTATGATTACAAGTAGTAAAACAACTTGGCTCTTTAGAACACAGATACATTTTCCTCAAAATGGCCTCTTTCAATATTGTCCTATTTCACTATCAGGATATGCTAAATTACCCATCTAAGGATGCATCACAAGAACTCAACATTATAGCATAAAGTAACCTTTTGCTCTAGCCCAGGTTGGTGGTGTGCATGCCGTGGACCCTGTTGAGGAACAACAAAGAGACAGAGAGAACCAAGTCACACATGGCCAGGCAGGAGCCACTCTAGCTTATCAACCCTCAGACACTCACCAGGCAACTCACACTGTCTCAGAAAGGGAGATTTCCTTTCTCGCTAGTGTTCACTAATAAAAATATGACATTTCAGAATTTAATAAAGCCCCAATTAAAAGAAAGCTAAATAACAAATGAGCATATGAAAGATCTTCGTGCCTCTAAATGTTTCTTCTAATAATCTAGTCTGTGCCAAGTATCCATACAAAGGCAGGAGAGAAATTTAAAGGTATA